GTTTTTTCTGGTCTTTGTGTAAAAGCTGTATTTGCTTATGTTTTCCATGTTACAGAATTATCTTCCAGACTATACATTATATCGAAGTTTCTATTTTCTTCCTACATGATTTGTGATTTGGTTCATTTCGCTTGATCATATGTTATAGCAGACAAAAAAAAATGTAGATTTATGTTATTAATTATGCGATACATTTGATTAAGAAACAAAACAACTAAAGAAGCACATTTCTAAATCTCTATCTCAAAAAACAATTTGAAACAAAAGCAATAAACAAAAGTTATAACCAATACAGAGAGAAACTAAAGATCACTCAAATCTCTTTTTAAAACTTATTAAGAGCTTTAACAGAGTCATAACAATGGCTTCTAAAGGAATGGAGGTAATATCACCCATCTTCTTGGATACTTTGGTTTCCCATCTTTTCCATCAAATATCTGCAATACCAAAACATCAAAAAAATAATCACAGTAAGCAACCACAAAAGCAAGCAAAAAATTTGAGCTTTTTCAGGTCCAGCAAAATCGTATAGGCTCGAAAAAACGAAAGCTTTTTTTTGTTTTTGTTTACCTTTCTCAAACGACTGTGCTTTCCAAGAGCCCAATTGGTCATGATTAGAGCGGCAACAGCGAGGAAAACGTATCCTGCAATGGTCTGAGTAGCAATGTTGAATCCTAGCCATTGGTAAATCTCGGTAGTGTAATTGGCACATGTAACAATGTTGAAGAGGAAACCGCGAGGAATCTGGTAGCCTCCAGACCCATTAGGGTCTCTAAGATTCTTCAGCAAGATGTGACAGTAAAAGTTTGCGACTTGGCAAACCAAACCAAATCCGAAACCAATCTTCATCTGAAGGTCACTGACCGGTGTGTACAAGGGATGGTTGACGTAATAAGCAATGTAAGCACCAAAGCTCCAGTAATAAGCGCAGTTCCTGAACACATTTGCTATTGGGGAGGTTGCGTGGCTGAACCGATGGACGAAAAACGTTTCTAAGATCCGTTTGAAGTAGTGAAAGCACCAGTAGTACATAGCGTACGTCTGGACCGGATGGATCACACGGTCCTCTCCATACCCAAGGAATTTGTAAACAGGGAAGTAGTAAAAGACCGGGTAGATTAAGAGTGGGCCAAGATACTCGAAGAAAAAGAGCGTACGGTAGGAAACTTGTGGCCCCAAGTCTTTGAAGACTACAGTTAAAGAGTCGGTGTTTCCATCGCAGTACTCTTTGAGTGATTTCTTGCTGCTGAGGACAACAGGTTTGTCCTTCGATCCAGGAGCCACTGGAAGAGTCAGTCTTTGCCTCGACGGATAAAACTTCTTAGCTGTTAAAAACAACAAAACCCAAATCACACCATTCAATACCAATTGAGATAAGAAAAACCCTTATCTATAGAAGGAGATACCGTAACACATTAGTAAATCTATTCTAGATGTGAAGAAAAAAGACTTGAAGCTCTCTGCTTAACACAAATACTGTAGAGAAAATTCCACCATAAGAAGCATCTATAATATATATGGTCAAATCACAAGAGGAACACACTGACTACACATTGTAGTAAGAAGATTTAAGATAGTGTCAAAAGGATCAATCTAAAGTAAAAGCAATTGAGCCTAAAAGTGACAGATCCATTAATGAGAAAAGGTTGAAATGACTAATCCAAAACCCCAGACTGGGTTTTAGGAGCTTAAATAGATCCTTAATCAGCATAGAACATGATCAAATCTAAGAGTAATCCATAAAGTTCCACACAGATCTACCCATAAGCATCAAATTCTGTATGAGAGCTCAAGACATTAAGATCATGTGCATACACACTAGCTTTACTTATACACTCCCTTAATTAGTTGTACCAGATTAGATCTATTTCGAAGTAAAAAGTGACGACTTTTGAAAGCTTACCTCTCTTATGAAATGCTTCCTGCAGATCAGCAACAGTCGCCTGCGAAGAACCCAAAACACACAAATCGAATAAACAACACTAAAATCAGAAGAAACAAAAACCCTCAAATCCACTAATCAGAACAAAACAGAGGACACGAAGCAGATCAACGTACCGAATCGGGGAGGTCGAGGGGAGCCTTGAGGACTTCTCTGCCGCTGCGAGAGACGACGGTGACTTTCATGGCTTCAAGGCG